GGTCCTTCTGTCAAATCCATGTCCCTCCTCAAACTTTTTCTTTAAAGACGCAGACAGTTCTGTCACTGACTCTTCGAGGCTTGTGTTTTGTTTAGGAAAAGAAGAACATTTTACCTTGATCCTTTACCAAGAAATTCGTAGTTACAAGAGGTGGGACCTGGCCTCTCACTCCAGTCACAAATGGTTCTGACCCACGGTTACTTCTGTCATCTTCAATCACTTGAATCTATGATGGAAAACACCACATTAATACCTGGAGGCTTGGTTTCAAAGTACAGTAAAATACACAGTCTGTAAGGCAGTGAAAAGGGGACCTGAGGAAAACATTTCTATCTCTAAAAATAGTAAGTCTAAATCAAATAAGTTTTGTCAAGCAGTCACCTTTCAGTTTGATTTCAAATAATACTTAAATGACTAACAATAACTTAAAAGTTGCAAATAATATTATTCCCCAAGTATTTTGAGTAGTAGCATATTTTGTGTTTTAAGGCCTGTTTTCATAGTATGCATTTATTTCTAACCCCTGTTACTCTGACCTAAAGACAGATGCTTGCAAGTTCAGGTGAAAGTCTTCATTACTCCATGGTGCTCAAGAGTTTATGATTTGAATTCTGGGGACGTGGAAAGCAAAGTTTCAGTAGACTTTTCAATAAATCAAGCTTTAACTTCACAAAGCCAGTAAAAATCTTAAATTTTTTAATATTTCAAATTCTTCATTAATGCAAATATGCTTAAGATAATGGAAATGCATTAAACAGTTTTCCTTGATTAAAATATCCACCTTTGCATAAGAATAGAAAATTGTAGTTATACACAGTTTTAACTACCTTTCCATACCAGTGCCTGAATCGAAATATTAAAGCTAGCAATCCTTATTTTGATCTTATTTTGCCACCAAACACACATCTTTGCTTAGAGTACACTGTGAAATGCAGAAGTTTGCACGGCAGAACTTCTGCCCTCTCACTGAGCATTCCAGGTTGCCAGCAGAAAGCCTATGATAGCATCAGGCAGTGACTACTCTAGGATAAATATAGTCTCATTTCAAAAGTCTACAGACTGACTGACGTTGGTGATCTCACCGCTGGTACCTGTTATATGACCAACTTTGGCTAAACAAGGAAGAACTGATACAAAGGTAACAGAAAGTCAAATGTGTTTTTTTTCTCCCAATCCAAAAGGTAGCTGCTTTTTTCTTTCTTTAGGTAAGATTCTCTACACATAAACATTAAATTTTCAAATTTAAAACTTAATGGTTATGTATGAGCACAGATAATGAGAGAATGCGTATAGCTCCCCATGCCTCATATTAATCTACTAGAAGATTTACATCAGGAATTAACATCAAAACAAAACACTTCACCTGCAATTTTAGAACTTCAAAGCATTAGCCTAGTACTGATATATCAACAAGGATAGTAATCAAATTCTGCTCAAAACTGGTAGAAAACATGGCTACAAAGGCTCGTGCTGTGCGTACATTAACATGAGACACACATTGTACAGACAATGATACTGATGGCTTACACTGAAAACACCAGCTGAAATCTGATGAAGGAGATATTCCAAAGATCAGACAAAGTGAAGGGGAGGCATTCCTCATGATCTGTTTCTGAAAGTCTGCTTTCTATTGCCTCATCATTAATCTCAGAAAATATTTTAACAATCTCTTGTGGTGTAATGTTACTCATTTTGATAAGGCAAGCAGAATACAGCAAGGAAAGGGTAAAGGATTAATGATGGAGGGTTAGTGAGGTAAAGTTCAGGTTTCAGGCATGCACAGATAGTCACCAACACACAGACTACAATTGACATATATACAGCACTTACTGGACTAGGAATTGCATCTGGGTCTATTCTGTGCCTGGGTTTCTGCTGGGGTGGCAGCTCATTAAGTTGCTTTTTTTTAAAAAAATAAAAAGTAAGAGTGCCACAAAAAAAAAAAAAAAAAAAAAAAAAAGAAGAAGAAGAAAAGAAAAGAAAAGAGAAGAGAATAATAAACCAAAAAGTACCAGTGTTACTTCTCTCTACCCAAACCTGTAGCATGGGAATTAGATCTATTTGGACATTGGTTCATGCAACAGGAAACATCAGCTTCTGCAGCATACACCGATCCCAAAACCAGTCTTGCCAGGATATTGGGCTTGGGCTCTGAATGCACTGCTAACAGAGCTGTAGCTCATGTGCTCATTTTGGTTAGAAACTAGGGATTTATGCTTTAGGACCATGCTAAAATGAAGGTAACTGACACAAGCTATTTGAGAGCTCATTTAGTAGAAGAGAAGAGAAGCACACAAGCAATTAAAGACTTCTTATATTCTATGAAAAAAATAGTCATAAGCTTTACATAAACCTGGAGTCTAAACATAATATTTTTTGAATAGCCATAACTTCTGGACACCAGTCCAGATCTAAGATGTAACTCAAGACAATTATTTTTTATAGTTTTGAAGTAAACAGATTGCAAGTACCACCCTGGAAAGTTTTCCTTTTATCAAATGGCTGTGGACTTCTGAAACAATAACAGAAGAGCACCAGCAGCAGTGGAAGGAACAGCACAGTACACCAGTGGCAATAATACTGCCAGGCTTAATATTACTCAACATTGCTAATGATTACACATCACTCCTCGTCCTTTCTCAGAACCTCCGTTCTGAAAGACAATCCAAATTTGAGAAGCTGTCCATATTTGACTGAAGTAGTTGTGTGACTTCATGACCCAAAAAACCGCTAACCATCTTTTTGACAGATTATAGAAAAAAGGAAAAGGACTACAATCATCTCCTACTAACCATACTTTAAACTTGGATCATCCAGTTCATAGATTGTCACCTCAAAACTTCAAATTAGTTCACCTTGGAAAGTCATTAAGCAAGAATCCAGAAATGGAGAAACAAGCTTAATCAAAGCCCTCAAGGATTCTCAAAATGTACCATAGTACAGAAAAAGACCTGAGGAATTAGAGCATTGATTTGCACGTGCAGTGGATTTCTTTAGCCACCAGGAAAAATACTGCTTCTGGGCTTATTCATAACATAAGAATGAAGCTGGATATAAGAGAGAAAAGTAATTAGGAAAACAGACTGATGTTCTTTGGAACGAGAAACCTGTTTTCAGCTTTGGTCTTTGTCAGTTCTGTTTTATGTAAAGACACTATGGAAGAGTTCACATTGGTAAGAACAAAATGAGCTTACAGGGCTAGGAATGGAATCCGGATCCAGGCGTTTTGGTGGAGGTGGTGGTCCAGGTTGATAATTTGGTGTTCCTGGATAGGCTCCTCCATAGTTTGGTTGGGGACTCCTCACCTGTCCAAAGGAACCTTACAAAAAAGGGACAGCAAAATCAAACAATGGCTAATACCAGGCACTTCCTCATTAGACATTTCCCACTTTTCCTGTCATCATCAAAAAACAAGAAAAAAAGTCACATGCTTTTCAGTTAATTAGGATTAAACGTATTTATCGCAGTGTTTCAGCTTAGACCCATACCTCTCTACCAATGATCCAATAAACTGATGGGTACAGTCCTCCTTAAAATCAGACTTAAGTAAACATGGGTTTTTAGACTACCATAACTATTTTTAGAATAATATGATTAAAATATGCATTAAAATCATGCACTACGAACATCTAAGTTAAATTGCAGAATTGCCTAATAGAAAGTGCATACAAAACAGCCAAATAAGCTGGCGGATGACACGTAAGTCCTCACATTAAAGGTATGCAAGGATTTCCCTTGGGCGGTTTTGTCTTGTCTGAAATTACAGTAATAGGGTAATGTGCAATTCTCTCTTTTGTTTTATAACTACCTGAAGTTATTTCGTATTACTTTAGATAATTTCAGTCAGTTACAGAATAACAGCATGATTTACCCCATTAGTGTTTTTATAGTTCATAGCAATCTGGACAGATACTTTTAAGTAATTTACCTGGCCAGCTGTGCAAAGCTGCATGGGGGATGGGATTCTCAATCCTGACACTTGCACATGATTACTTTAACCTAGCTATCTGTAAATGTTATTGACTAAAAATCAGCCAAAACTGTTTATAATTCAGAAAGCTTAACGGATATTACTTCTAAGCACAAACAAAATGTGAAAAGTTCTACAAGGAGAAAAATACACAGTTTTGTGAATTAAAGAAAAAGTAGCAACTCCATTTTAACATTTAACAATTCCTTTTCAACATTTAACAGTTCCTCTCTTGCACGTTGTACATGCACACTGGCCACATTTTTTTTTTAAAAAAGGTAAGGCTTTTCAGGATTTCAAATCTCTACTTTTGAACAGATGAGGCTGCAGACATCAAATTAAAGATCATAATAAAACTTCTATCACAAATTCTTGTAACATTATTGCACTAAGTAACCTAGGATTTGTTTAGTTACATTAATCTGATTAACATCTGTATGATAAATATCTTAGATTCAAACATCCTATTGTCCTTCAGACATCAGCACAGGGAAACAAAACAGAAGCTTTGAAGTGCAGCCAGAAGCCCACACGTAACAAATCTGAAATCCAGTCCTCAGTTTGCAGCACACAGAGAACACACATAGCTTACAACTTCTACAGTAGGAATACTTACCGTTCTGCTGAGTTTGGTATCCTGGCTGAGGAGGATGAGTGGGAGGAGGTGGTCCATGGAGGCCACTCATGGGAGGCCCAGGGTGTGGGCCTGACACAGTTGATGGAGGTGGTGGTGAGGATACGTGATTAGGCTGGGACGCTGCTGGTCCAGCAACCATCTGCCCAGGCAGTGGTGGGCCTGGCATGGTAGGTGGCCTTGGGGCACCTGTGGTAGGAGGGTAAGAGGAAGGTCCAATCCCTGTAGAACAGGGAGGTGGGGCAAAACCAGGGACTTGCGTAGGTGGGCGCTGAGCTGATATTGGTTGACCAGGAAACGGAGGCTGTGCCAAAGGAAGACCCTGAGACACACTGGTAGGAGGGGGTCCTTGGCTCGCAGTGTAAGGTGTGTAGAGACCAGATCCTGTTGCGCTAAAGCTTCCTGAGACTGGGGGAACCGATGTTGGGGGACCTGATAAGAAGAAGAGATGATATAGTTTTCTTCTATCCTCAAGACAATTAAGATGCAAACAAAATCCATTTGCTCTAGATCATCTAAAATCCATTTGCTCTAGATCATCTAAATAGGTCTACCACTTTCTCATCTTCAGATGGACTTGCCAGTACTAATAGAGACAAACCTTAAGTGAACACCCTCCTAAATTGATAAGAGAGCTGAAATTCCTCCTAGGGATCTGAAACTTGATGACTCCCTCATTGTTCTCTCTCTCAAAGTCTGAGCTCTTTATTTTACGTAATCAGAACACCTTTCAGGATTCAGGGCCAGAAAAAAGGGGCAAAGCTAGGAGTATGCAAAACAAGAACCACCACAAGTTTGTCTACCGATTTCTTGAACTGAAATAAGCTTGTATCTTACATTCCACACTAAGTTGGAGCCTGTAGTTCAAGAATGGTTTTGAGCTTCATGGTTTTAATAGCATAACAGTATTTACCACTGTACTATTTCTGAGGATAATTTTAGCCAAACACATTACCAAAAGGATCGAGAAATCTGCATCCCTTGCTCCTGATTTTCCTATAAAGTCTGTGTTAAAATATGAGACATGCTTGTCAAAAAGTACTTTACCAAAACAATTTAAAAAAAAAAAAAGTGTAGTCAGACCAGCTTACACTTAAAGACAAAACTCTATTCTTCAATCAAAAAAAACAGTCCTGTGATCTACAGCAGCAGGACTGCAGATCTAATACAACAGAATAAAAAAATCTAAATTCAGTTTATACTGTTTAACTAATGTTCTGTGAAGCAAAACCCTTCACAGAATCATTCAGAGTAATTTCAGCCCTTTGTTACTTATTGAGACTTCTTTTTTTTGACTGGGCTGCTGCAGAACAGTGGCAAGACATGTAGACTCTCCAACATCTTACTTAGGGATAGATTGTTTTTGTCCACTACAGCTGTATGAATGCACCTGTTTTTGTGTTTCACACCAAGATTCACCTAGCTGAGGAGAAATATTGTTACATCCTGTGGTACTTCCTGCACTGTCCCCTACAATAGTCTCAGTTCTGTTTTCTCCAATTATGACCTCATTAGTCAAGGAAACTACCATTTACTATGGCAGATGTCAATGTCCAGAGAATTCCCATCAACATATGGTAATGAATCGTTGACAAGAGCAAATCTTTTATGAAATTACTAGCATAAATGAAAAGCAATAGCATTATTTCTCTAGCCAGGAAACCTCACCATAGCCCAGTCCAGCTGGGGGAGGAGCAGAGGCTGTAGTACTGCCAATTGTCATCCCTGCCATGTGATTGCTGAGCTGCTGTACATTGGCTGGGGGGGGACCATATTGCTGCAACGTAGATGTCTGGCTGACAGGTGTGGGTGCTGAGCCTGGCAGAAACGGCTGAGAAGCAGGCGGCCTGAGAAGGAAGATCAGAAACTTCACTGGATTCCCCATTATAAAAGCAGCTACAATTCTCTGTGCCTTTTAAAATTCTTCTATCGTGTAAACACTAGATGGGTGTCAGTTATTTACATGAAGCACTGTAGCTCACTAAAAAAAAAAAATCTATTCTTAAATACAAATTCTACATTTATAGGTTTTTTTTTTTTGTTAATTCCATTTTAGCTATCGCAACAAATCAGAAATACTGCAACAGAGTCTACATGGTGAGCAACAGTAAGGCCTACACAGCTATGTAAGAATGCTCTGTTGCTCTGACAGTGCTGAGCTTAACCAGCAGGAAACAAAAAACAACCACCTTCCCCCATAACCAGTAATCAGAAAGAAGCAGTGAGGACTGTTGTCACTTTCACCACAGAGGTAATGGCACTATCTTTCTGGAGAAAATGCCGAAGCCTGTTAGATGAAGATAACTCGGGGATCCATAACAGACAGAAAGGACCCAGAGCCAATACTAAGGAATTGCTAAGTAATGACAGACAGCAATATGCTCCAGACAGAGATCAGCTCACACTGCCAAGGAGTCAAATGCTGTGTGGATGTAATTGTTTTAAAACAAGACAGATTATGGGAATCAGAAAATTCCTTAAGGGAAAATGACTACCACAAACAAAGTCTTTGGAGAAGTAGTGATTTTGATCAGTCACTAACATGTGCTCACATCCTTCCAGAAGTTTTTCATCTCCAGAGATTCTTATGGTCTAACAAATACCCCTATGGTAAAATGTTGTTCCAAAACAATAAGGAAACAATAAAGTCAATGTCCACCACAGTAAAAACAAAGTATTTAGCTTGTTTTAGATCCTAAAAGGTCTACATCTAGGATGTCTACCAAGGAAGATCTTTGTTATGATTTGCTCTTCTTGTATGTACCTCTGCACTGGGGCTGTTGAGGCTGGAATCCCATTCTGCACATCTTCACGTCCAAACTGACTGTATGCCAGGGGGCCAGAAGGAAAAGATGCTCCAGAGGCTGGAGGGGGAGCTCCAGCTGTTGGAGGGGCTCTTAATGAACCTACAGACATAGGGAAAAAAAATTTTAAAAATAATCACAAATTACTCACAGAAACAAGAGTTTGAACCAACTACCAAGAAAAATCCAGGAAATAAAAAAGTGCTAAAAACTGTTCAGTGGTGACCAAATGGATGTATCAATACTCCATGAACAACAAATAATTTATACAGCTATATTAGAAGTAGGAACACTGAAGGTACAAATATTTTTAGCCAGTGTCACTAGTTACCATCTCCCACACACATCAAGCAGAAAATATATACTGTGGAAGGTCTTCAAAAGACAATTTCATCTTTTGATTGAGAGAAAACCTTCGTCTTGTCAGTAAGGTATTAAATTGTTCCTCCTACAAGTCAATATTTTTTTTATCCAGACCAAGGAGAGTATTCACATAGAAGCCCATGTCCCTTACAGGTCACTTTTCCCTACTTGACAGGTAAGCATGTTATGTGAGTAGATGCAGTTTTTCAAAAATTACTGTTTTTATATATAACATAATGGGGGCCACCACAGACTATTCTTCCCAACCTCTCAAGTTTGGAGGCTAACATGAATACTTTCTATCTTTCAGACTGAGCTGGTTCAGTCACAGTCCAAACATATTTGCCTCAGAAACAAGTCTTCACACTTTCCACAGACCTTAAAATGCTGGATACAATACCAGCAGACCAACTGCAGTGTCTACTTCCAAAAAAGAGAATATAAAGTTCTATTTTAATTATATTAAGTTAAAAATGCTGATAATTAAAACAACCACGTGACTATGCCTGCTAACCACAAGGGAACATATTGTACATCTGGGGTATCGTTAAATACCAATGACTGTTTAACAGAGTAAACTGCCCCATGAGACCAGGGCAGCACATACATGCTGCTCTGTTGTCTCTGACAGTGACCGGCACGACAAATTTAAAAGGGACTCTGAAACCTTCTTGTGAAGAACCATTACGAATCAGTAAACAAGAGGAGCCATGTCTCAATTCTACAGTACAACTTACAGACCAAAGCATGCGGTTTCAACTCATGTATTTTTAACTTATCTGCTACATGCAATTCTTAGTAAGCTTGTGGATGTAAATTCACAGAAGGAATTAACTAAACCTCTCAGCCTCCAAGATCAGCTGCTTCAGAGCCGAACCAGCTCCAACAGACTGACTGATCGCGAGGTACAGGGGGTTTTTCGGGAGATTCCTTCGACAGGAAAACCCCGAGGCAGTGGAATAACACGACTCCTGCCAACAGCTCTCCCACCTGCCAACAGCTCTCCCACGAGAGGCTCAGGGGCACCACCTGTGGCTCGTGTAGCAGGACGCTGAAGTTTTGCCTGGTGCAGAAGCCTCACAAGGCGGCCCTAGGAGCCCAGCGAGCAGGCAGGGTTCCTCGAAGGAGGAGAAGAACTAAAGACCAGGTGCTGCAGCGGTGGGTGTGGGAGGTTCTGTGGCAGGGCACAGGAATTCTGCCCCTCCTCGCTTGTGAGTCCTACGTATCTGTTCGTAGTCTGTGACCACTGTTTTTGTCATGGCCTCCACCAGGCAGAGAGTGGCCTGCCCCAAAAAAAAGACTGCGGCAACCCAAACGGAGGGCCTGTTCAAAAAAAACACAGGTCTCTGGCTTCAGTGGGTGCCGGAGCTTGCTGCTGCTGGGGGAGGGTGGCGGACATTCCACTTGTGTGAGGTGCCAGACGGTGGAAGATCTGCTCACCATGGTGGCCGAGCTGAAAGATGAGGTGGAGAGACCGAGGGCCATCAGGGACTGCGCGCAGGAGATCGACTGGTGGAGTAACTCCC